ATTCTGCTGGTCATGTGACCCACTTCAGCCAGCGAGATACAGGAGGAAGTTGCCAAAAAGCCTAGCTCTTGGGGGTGGAGGGCAGGAGGATCTTAGTTCAAGGCCAACCTGGACTACATAGTGAACTTGTAGACAGAATGACCTTAAATCCCCAGTGACTTTACAGAGTTACTCTAACAGCCCAGAATTGCCAACCAGCTGGTGAGCTGATGCCTTTGTTTTGTTTTGTTTTGTTTTGCTTTGTTTTGTTTTTTTCAACACAGGGTTTCTCTGTGTAGCCCTAGCTGTCATGGAACTCACCTCAAACTCAGAGGTCCACCTGCCTCCACCCCCCAGAGTGCTGGGATTAAAGGTGCAGTGTGTACCACCACACTGGGCTCAGCTGCTGCCTCTTTTAAAGTCAAGCAAACCAACATCCCCTGTGTGTCTAATCCACAGCAACCAAGTTACTCTTCTGTGTGATGGGACACACAACCACTCTCAAGGCATTCACATGCTGACACAGTAAAGGGAGAGTAAGCGGGGGGGGGTGGGGGGGAGGGGGCGGCTTGAAACAGTGGGGGTGGTGGGGGGAAGGGAGGACCCCAGAGTCTGCAGGTCAGAATCTGCGTGTCTGATAAGCTTACAGCTAATGCTGATGGGATAGCGACCACACTTGGAGATTTGGAAAATGAAGGTTCTTTCAGCCCTTGTCTCTTCATAAACATCCTATTCTGCTACAGAAGGAAAAGAAAGACTCCATGAATTTTCAACTTAAAGGTTTTTTTTTATTTAGAATATAACTTTTAAGACAAAAAAGCAGTTCATTTTATCCAGCAAAATAAATTTAATAAGTTCATTTAAATAAGGTAAATTCTAGACTCTGTAACTTTTTTTTTAGCTACTAAACTAGCTACTCTGTAGCTGCTAAGCTAGGTTGCTTTCCAAAGTAACACAGCTGTAAGAGAAGAAACTGTTTATATATATAGATTTCAAATATACAAAATTTGAATGACTCAACTACACCGCGTTCTCATTCAACCACCAGTGTGTCAGGTGAAGCGGAAGGACACAGGGAAGTGGACTGAGGAGGTGTCCCCTGCCTGTTATGTTTCCTTTTCAACAGAAGCCAGGCAGCTCTGAAGTGGATGGTACGTATGAATTGTTACTGGAAGGTGCCGGTCAAGGGCGAACGAAAAGTGTTCCCACTCATCTTTCATTAAAAGCCAAAGGGAAACGCAAGCCACACCCCACTCCCAGCCCAGCCTTCGCTGTACGCAGAACTGCATTTAGCTTCCTATTATTGTTATTCTTTTAGTTATATACATTTAAAAAACACATTGTGTTAAACAGCAGGACAGCAAACGATGAGACATTCAACACTGCACTGAAACATCAAAACAGCCTGGGTAAACTGAGGCAAGGAAGAACAGATGGAGATCCGGGAGCAAGCTCAAAGGCCCGGCTCCCTAGTCCGTAACAGATCTGCTTTCCGAAGGCAAGCCTTCTGACCGCCGCCACTCCGCCAGGCGCTGCTTAAACCATTTCTGAAAGAGAGAGATGCCAACAATTATCTATCACGCACTGAAAGGTCAAAATGTCTATTTCATCCCTGAGGAGAGTCTGTGTGGTCCAACTGAGAAGGAGAGACGCAAAGGATGCTGGGATGGTTCTCGCACCATGACGCCAACCTTCCCTGCCCCAGGAAGTTCTTCATCTGATTCCCTCTTTCTCCTTTGGGTCTCAGCTTAAACCAGACCACTCTATTAAAAGCAGGCTCTCCGTATTTTCTGTTTTAATACTTTGCCAACGTCACACGACTTTCAACATCATTGCTTTAATTACACGCACGATCTTCAGGAATGGAAGGGCCGAGGAATGCCCGGGTTGTCCTCATCTTACCATCTTCAAGAATCTCATGGCTCATCAGTGTTTGTTGACTGAATAAATGGAACGGAAACAACGCCTTGATGGCCTAGATGATTTCTAGTCTCTGGGTTTAATATCTTATGACTGATGCTGACACAGGCACAGGCATCGCTCATTAGCAGTGTCCTAGGGAAATTTTGTTCAGTAAATAGCTCACAACTAAGCACTAAGTGACTTTGGACCATGACTTCTTAGGAATCCACGGAGTGGGCGGAGCAGAAACAGAAGGTGTGCAGTGGGTTTACCTGTGAGTCGGAATTGTCTAGCTCAGTGTCATCACTCAAATATTTACCCCTAGCCAATGTCAACACCGATTTCAGAGAGACCTCAATGAGATGCTTCTAGGTTGGAGCTAAGGGAGGTCCAAGACATTTCTATAAGCTTTGTTTTGTCTTTTTGTTGTTGTTGTTGTTGTTGTTTTGTCTTTTTTTTTTCCCAGACTGAGGACTGAACTAGGCAAGCGCTCTACCACTGAGCTAAATCCCCAACCCCTTCTATAAGCCTTAAAGTGGTGTGGCACACACTAAACAACCAGGCTGCCTTTACAATGTTACTTCAGATCGAGGGCCCTGGGATTAGACTAACTCTGAACCAGGTCAGAAGGAAACTGGGATTTGAAGAAACCAGCTTGGAAGAGGCCCTGATGCAGAAACAGAAGCAGCCGGCTTCTATTCTCCAGGGAGAAGGGATGAAGTTTCCCCTTGAGCCTGGCACCTCACGTGTCGTGGAGTACATCCATAACGGTCAGGTTATTGTAGCACTGGTCTAACTGATCCAACTGCTTGGATAAGTGAGCGGTGTAGGCACAGGCAATGGTCACCTCTATTGTCCTGACTAGCGGCAAGAAGCCTCTAAGAATAATATCAGTCACTCAGTTCATCTGTAGAGGAAGAGGTCAGCTTTGGTGGCCTCTGTTGTCCTTTGTGCGTTTCTTAAGTCTGGGGGTAGGGGGGAATGAAAGGGCAGGCATCGAGAAAAAAGACAGTAGTGCTATGATATAGCCACACTGGGGTGTGCTGTATTACACAGAGATGTACTACAGACAGAGGCGGTCCGGTGGGAAACACCTCTTTGATATTTGCTTTCAGCCTCACATCAGTAGGCTGGGCCTTGCTGGAGAAGAGCCTGGGCTCTCTTGCGATATAAGGAGCTAGAGGAGAGTCTGACCATAAGCCCAGGAAAGAATGTGAACCACAGGACAGAAGAGCCTCTAAACAGCAAGCACTGGGGACAGGGTGTCATTCAGGAAAGGGCCCGAGGCCCCAGGACTGAGTAAGTCTCCCATTGGTGTTTAGCGGGCTGAGCATGGGCTGTGTGAGGACAGGCTACCCACCTGCAGACCCACGTGCTGAGCCTCATGCTGGCCAGGAGCAGCTGTCCTTCCACCCTTATCCTGGGGGTGGCAGCAAAGCATGCCCAGCAAAGCAACAGAAAGCCAAAGGGTCCGACCATCATTGGAAAACCTTCCCTGTGGGACTCACTCTTGGAAATAGTATTAATAATAATTATCATTATTATTTCTTCTCTCTTTGCCTGTTATTGCTTTTGAAACAGACTCAAGTAGCACAGGCTAGCTTTGACTTCATTATGCATCTGAAGGAGCTTGAACCTCTGATCCTCCTGTTTCTACCTCCCAGACACTGGGGTTACAGCCATTCACAGTGTCTGCTCTATGCAGAGTTGACGATGGAGCTTATGGCTTGTGTATGCTAGGCAAGCACCCTACCAGTGAACCCCATCCGTGGGCACCACTAATTTTAGGAGAAGAGAAGGCTCATGTACTGCTGACTTCAACCTGACTCTGATTGGGAGACCGGGCACATTTTCTTCGGTTAATCCACATGTGTGGGTCTGGCTTGAGAACAGCACAGCGCCAGCTTCGTTAATGAGGTGACTGTGGGGGTTTCGAAGCTGCAAGTGCTGATTAAATAGGGTTTCCAGGGACTAGAGCAGAATAAGTGGCCACCTTTAAAGACTAATTAAAACCTAGAAGGGAGGAAAAAACCTGTTTCTATCAGGACCCATTTAAGGCAACGTGGTTAAGCTGGCCTCATTCTAAAGAGCTGCCCGCATCTTCACATGCAGAGTATTGATGGGTCATTACCCAAAATAGCTTCGACCTGGACCACATTTGTGAATTTGTGAGGTCCAATCTAAATGCTTAATAAATTGAGCCCTGGCACTGAGGGTTGGGAAGAGGTGTGAGAACAGCTCAGTTGTTATCTGGGGGAATCTTTCCATGAAGATTATATATCATAACTCAGCAGACCAGATACTAGTGACAAAATGCACTCTTGCTGGCTTCTTTCCTGTTTAGCTCTGGATCTTGTAGCTTCTGACGCACATACATACTAATTTTCCACCTGGCTTTGTCTCTCTCCCCTCTTTGTTGCAGCCGTCCCCTGGGAAAGACATTCATCCTGGCTTGCTCGTGAATGGGTGTTCTCATTATCCCTGTTCATTGATGGAAACGTATCTACTCCGAATGAAGACATGATAATTGGACATTGAGGTAGGGAGGGCTTGGGGCAAAACAACATTGTTCTTGCTCTTTTCTCTTAACAACTAGCATTTCATTCTTTTCAGAGGGAGACCTTTAGAGGTCTTATCCCACTGATAAAACATCCAACAACTGAAAACATTGGATTCTGGGAACAAGTCCAGAACACCAAAAAGAGATAAAAATACTGGGAATTTCTTCAAGAACCAATGCCAACTACACTGTACTTGAGAGAGAGAGA